GCCGCAGTGCCAGCGCCACCGCCAGCGCAAGGGGGAGAGGAGAGAGGAACAGGGGACGGGGGCACCCGAGCGGGGGGCGTCCAAGAGGGGGGTTCAGAAATCATGGCCCGAGGCACGCGAACGGCCCTGTTGAAACAAGAAGAGGTGGCAAGGAAAAATGGCCCTCGACATGATGTCCACCCCCTCTGCCCTGCCTCCATGCCGCCGAGGAGCCAGGGCCGCTGCGCAGGGGGCCGCCCGAGGCCCGGGTTTGCTGCCCAGGACGAGGGGGTGCCCCACGGCCGCCACGGGGCCTGGGGCTACTCGACTGCCCCACCCCGTGGTGCTGGCGCTCCTCTCGCCAGCGTCCCCCACCCACGGGTGTCACCGTGGCCTTGGGAGGCCGTCAGACGGCTTGAGCTGAAGGCCCACGAGCGCCCCTGGCCCTGGTCGACCAGTAGTTGCTGGCGTCAAGTGTGCATGGCTTGGGGGCGACCTGAGCGAAGCGTTCCGCAAGTGCTCTCTCCCTGGCGTGGTTGTCTCAAGACCTCCAGCGTACTGGAAAAGTCTAACCAAAGGCTGTTGAGTTTTCGGCCTCTGGCTGTCAATAGGCATCTCGGGATGAAGAACCGTTCTGGGGGAAAGGCGCGGAACGTCCGGGGGACTGGTGTTGATTACGTCAAGACATCGGATGTATCGGTCAATCCTCGGTTTCCAAAAGGGGGGGCAGTGACCCCCCCCCAAAGGCGACCCCCAGAGCACCCAGCACTGCCCGATTGCTGCCGCTTCGCATGGGGCTGCTCCACAGGGAGACAGGCCCATGCCCGCCCCGCAGGCGTCTTCGGGCCCGGGCCAGGCAAGGCCACGTCGCAAACGAACCCCCAAGCCAGCCGCATGGCAGCTGGGCGGGGGCGGGGTGTCGGCTCCACGTGGTTCGCGGTGACACTCTCTACCTCCTTCCATGTGGCGTTCGGGTCCTGACTCCAGCCGCAGGCGGTCCTTCGGGATGATTTTAGCATCTCAGGAGCGCCATCGACGAGGCGCAGCTGATGGAGACTACCCCAGGCCCCGAAAAAACGAACCCGCCACGCGCGCCCCGAAACCTCGAAATGGAAAGGCACAGGGCTGCGGACAAGCAGCCCCTGGAGAGGGGGCCGGATAGCCTCAACTGGCACTCTGGGCAGCCCAGGGCGGCCAGGGAGGCCGGGCATGGGCGCACTAGACGATTCCACACACACACAGACACACACACATATGTATATACATATATATATATATACATAACTATAAATAGACATGTACATAGACATATACATATACCTATACATATGCATATGCATATACATATACATATACATATACACCTACATATACATATACAAATACATATGCATATACGTATACATGTACATATACACATACATATACATATACATATACATATGCCTATACATATACATATACATATACATATACATATACATATACATATACATAGGCATGTACACATACAAAGGCATATACATATACATATACACATATGTATACATATACATATACGTATACATATACATATACATATATGTGTATGTATACAAATGCATGCGCATATACGAATATATATATATATATATATATATATATATATGCATTACATGTGCATGTACATATACATGTACATATACATATACATATACATATACATAGTCATATACATAAACATGTACATATACATATACATATACATATACATATACACATACGTGCACACGTGCACATAGACATATACATATACATATACACATCCATATGCATATTCATAAACATATATATCTAAACATAACCATGTTCATAAATATCGGTGTATATATAACTATATATATACATACATATACATATACATATACACATTCATATACATATTCATACACATAGACATATGCATATCCATGGACGTGTGCATATACAAATACATATACACATACATGTACATATATATATATATATATAAACATGCATATGCATATGCATATGTATATGCATACACAGATGCGAATACATATATACATGTATATATACGTATACATTTACATATACATATAGATATACATATACCTATACATACCTATATACATACATACACACATACATACAGAAAAAATGAAACGATAACAGGTTTATCTTGTCCGCCCGCTGCGGACGACGACGACGACCAAGACGACGTCAGGATCGGTGTGCCTGGCTGGCCGCATGGCACTTAGTTCCTCGGCCCAACTCCACCAAACGGCGAAAAAAGAGATCGGCTCCGCGTGGCTCCCACGCGCAAGTCAGCCAGCAGGAATCAGGAGGGGATTGGCTGACCCCGGTAGCCCTGACTCACATTGCCGCCTTAACTGGCGTTTTGGCCCATAACTCGGGCCTCGAGCGGCCGATCGGGACAATTCCGGCGTCCCCAGAACGCCCCCGACGAGGCGCAGCTGACAGAAACCACGCCGGGCATGGAGACCGCTGCGGATGCACGCGCGCTCCGAAACCGCGAACTGGCAAAGCCCAGGTCTGCAGGCAGGCAGCCCCTCGGAGGCCTAGGCTGGCCTCGACGGGCCGTCGGGGCAGCCCAGGGCGATCTCAGAACTCAGAACCGCCTCCAGCAGCGCCGCTCGGGGTGGCCCATGCCCTAGGTGCTCGGCTGTCGAAGCCACCGTGGGCTACCCTGGGGGCATGTCCAGCACAGCCAGTCCAAGGGCTGTCTATGTCGATGTGCAACCGTAGGGCTTGCCAGGCGGACTCTGGCACCTCGAACCTGAATCGCGGTGCGTTCAGAAGGTTCGAGCTGCCAGGCGTGTCGAGCAGGAAAGAAGAAGAACAGGGCTTGGGACGCGCTGGGCGAAACAAAACGGGGAGGAGAGAGAGAGAGAATATATATATATATATATATATATTATATTATATATATATATATATATATATACATAAATATAGACATATATATATACATAAATAGAGAGAGGGAGAGAGAGGAACAAAAAAAAGAGTGGCCCGTGGAGAGGCGAAGGATCGCCTGCCCCGGCGCTGCGCCGGGCCGGAAGCCCCAGTGAAGCTTGCAGAACAAGAGAGCAGTGATATACAGGACCACATGCTCATACATGTCCAGCGTATTATCTGCCCTCCAGTGATTATCAAGGCGATGACGCGGAACCAGGGTGTCCAACCGATGAAGCGCGCAGTCCAACGCCTGTCTCTCGTTCCACTTTGCCAGCTAAAGTCCATTTGGCATTCCAGAAACAGTTCACCCAGTCCTCAACGCTGCGGCGCCCTGCAATGCAATGGCCAGGCTCGTGTGGGTGGCGCACTTGCTAAGTCTACCCAGCACTTCTCTGGGCGTCGTCTCGCGCCGACCATCTGCCTGAGCAGTGTGCGCTGCGTCGCCCGTAACTTTCTCTCGTAGTCCACGGTCACCGCCCACGTGCATTCAGCATACAGGAGACACGAAGCGACGCACGAGCGTCGCAATCTCATTATGTGTTCCAAGGGCATTTACCTGTTGCACAGAGCATGCTTCAATGCGCGGAAGGATGCCCAGCCTGCAGAAAGTGTGTGCTTGAATTCCTCACGATGAGAATCGTCCAGTGAGAGCCGCCGACAAAGAAACGTATATGATTATCCTGCTCGGCGTGCTCGCCACATTTGACGCTATAGGGACGCGATGTAGCACTAGTGAAAACGGCCTTTTTTCCACTTGTGCGCATTCAGCCCATACTTCTTTGTCTCCACGCCCAAGTCGGCGATCATGCAGGTCACGTCTCTTTTGCAGCCCGCCAGCAAAAGGACGTCGTCGGCGAAACGAGAGTTCGTCAACGGCTCGCCTAGATCGTCCACTACCAGGTCATAATACGACCCCTGTCTGCGAGAGTTCAATTCATTACACCTGTCGTTCAGCTTGCGGAGCACAGCTTCCATGATGACCACGACGAGAAAATAACTGATAGACTCTCCTCGTTTCACCCCTCGCGCGAGATCGAAAGGGCGGCTTCTTTACCCAGCCAAAACCGCTGCCGCCCGGTGAACATGCAATCGTTTCAACCTGTTGATAGATTCGTATTGCACACCTTGCTCATAAAGGACCGCCCAGAGAGCGACATGCTCTGCGGTGTCGAACGCCTTTTCGCAATCGACCATGCCCACCCACAGGTCGACGTTGAACTCGCGGCAATTGTCCGTGATGAGGGCGGTTGCGAGGAGATGGTCCACCGTGCCGAACCCTTTTCGGCATGCTGCCTGCTCCTCCGATTGCCCCGACACAATGACGCCACGTAGACGACGACATAGCATTCGGCTAAACAGCTTGTGAAGCCCGCCCAATATAGCAATAGGTCTGTAATTGGCTGGCAAAGTGGCGTCTCCTTTCTTGAACAGCACTGTGATCCGGGCAGTAAGCCAGCTTTCTGGCAAACGCTGGTCTGGGTAAGGAATTGCATTGAAGGCGGTCAGCATAAATAAACACGTATAGAACTCGTAACATGCAGGATGTTGGTATCTGGACGTCGAATGTCACGAACCGCTGGAAATCGGTCGAAACGCTCTGTGAGACCACCGCTTGACCACCGCAGGATCGTCGAGTGCCCCCGCGTTCAAACCCATGATGTCCATGCGATGTGGTCCACGTTTCCAGGCGCTCGTCCATCCAGGTTTCGGCAACAAGTACCAGATCCCAGTGCTGCTCCCTAAGTTCCGAAAGACAGCGACCCAAACGACCATCAACAAACATGAGAGAATGAATAGTGCATTCGGGACTGATGAGATCCGAAAAAAAAAATGTGTTTCATAAGGCCCGTTGTAACCCTCCTTCGACTGGCACTGGAAAGTCTATGCGTCCCCGGCTCCTGTTCCAAGCCCCGGAGGGCTTACCTCACCGCGTCTTCGAACACCTTGTCCGTCACAGTGATGCCAGACGCCTTCATCTCATCCTCGTTCAAATGGACCCTATCCTCATCCTCCCCTTCCCCGCCCTTCCGCCTTCCGATCCTCACGCGGCTAACGAAGATCAGCCCTCTGCGGTAATATACTTTCACGTTCGCCGCCGCGGATCCGTTTGTACTTCCCCAACAGCTTTCCGCGCGCACGGTCTACCAGACTGCGGCTTGCAGAAATCCACAAATCTGTCCCGTTGACTTGATGAATGAATTTCCCATTGGCCTTTTTCAAATACTAGTGCATGTCCTTCGGCGTCTCGAACCGTACGAAACCGACGCTGCTGGACTGGTACGCGTACACCTCCTCCTTCCCCACAGCGTCGTTCATCATGTGATTCTCGATGAAGTCCTCGACGTACTCCTTCTCGGGGTCTTCAAGAAAGCCCCTCACGACTCCCCACGACCACAGTGCGGGAGGAGTTCTCCTTGTCCTCCGCGGTCTTCTGCTTGCCATTCTTGTTTTGATTGTCTTGAGGGGTAGCTGCATGACGTCCTTGATTTGATTTCTCGAAGGTCTCCGTGGTCATGAAGCTTCCGCCCGTCACGTGGATCTGCTCCTCGAGCCCCGTGACCTTTTCCATGGCATCCTCCGCGACCGAATGCGCCATGCGTGCTTGCAGCCGGACCTGCGCGATCTCATCCTTCGCCTCATGCAGGTTGTCCTGATGTCCGCGGACCATACCTACGAGCTGCTGTAAAATCCTTCCTTGATTTAGCGCCCATGCTGGTGGTTTCTCCTCAGTCTTGCCCTCCTCCACCACGTCCACCGCTTCCTCTATCACTGCCTTCTCTCCCTTCTGCCGTTTGGGTTTCGGGGGCTGGCTGGCTACCAGAGCACGGAAGGCCTCCATGAGTGCACAAAGAGGTCAGAGGATACGTATGTAAATCAACTCGGGTTGAATGCTGAAGCGTGAGCAATGAGTGAGCATTTGGTTTGAGACGGAGGACAAGAGCGAGGACGAAAGAGGACGCGTGGGAGGAGCAGGGCGACCACGACCACTACCACCACAACCACCACCACGACCACGACGACGACAACGACGGCGGCGGCGGCGGCGACGGCGACGGCGACGGCAGCGCCGGCGCCAGCGGAGGGCATTCTTTACTCATTTCAAGGGGGAGTGCCTGCAGCAGCACCGCCAGGCGTTCCTGGTCCGCCTCGAGCTCATCAATCTCCCTCTCCAGCTCCGGGAGCATCCTTCGGGCGTGGATTCAACCTGGCTCAGAGCAAGCCTGGCTCATCCAATTTAGAAAAAATGCGCCACAAATTGGGGGGGGCTGCCCAAACCCAGCTTGTCTAATGTGTACGGCCACCTCCAGGGCTGCGAGCGGGCCCCAAACCCGGCTCAGCCAAAATCCAGCTTTGCAAGTCCTCCAGGATCTGGAGCTCTGGCCGAGCCCCGCTTGCGCTGAACCTCGTTACTGCCCAGCTAAATCTTCGCGAGGCGTGAGCTCCGGAAAGCAAGGTATCTTACACGGGAGGAGCGTGGCGACGCTGCGCAATATCATATACGACGGCCGCGAACGCCGCACACCGCGCCGACCAGCCACAACTGGGGGAGCCGTGTTCCGCACAGTCGGCACATGCACTAGGACATCTTGGTGTCGTTGATACTTGAGCTTCATGCGGTACCCCAGGGCGTCCAGGCTTCCAGGGCCATCACTGGGGTTGAAGAATCTCCGAGGCGCACGTGCTGGCAGGCCGATGTCTTATCTTACGCGCCTGCTGTACACCCCTGGGAGAGCCCGTCGCGTCGACGACCTCTAAAGAGGGGCATCGAAATCGGTGGGCCCCACAGGGTCGCAAATACCACAGCTCCCACAATTACGTATGGCTTGTCTGCCACGTGAAGAGAAGGGCATCTGCGCGCGACCTTGCGGGCGACTTCTGCGCGAAGATCCCGTGAAGCGACCGACCCCTTCGCAAATGCCGCTCTATCGGCAGTAGCGCGCGATCTGGAAGGGGGAAGGGAGAGTGGGAGGCGAGAGCGGAGGGAAGCGAGAAGAGAGAAGGGCAGAAGAGGCGAAGGGGCAGGAGAGAAAGGGAGAAAGAGAGAGAGGGAGAGAGAGAGAGAGAGACAGAGACAGACAGGGGAGGAAAGGTGAACACAAGAAAGAAAAGGAGGAGAAGGAGGAATAACCAGCATCGACAGAAGTCAAATCCGCTTCCATATGCACTGACGGGGCGGCCTTTCAAACACCAGGCTGCCCCACAGGCACAGCCGAGCCAGGCAAAAATATAGCGAAAGATCAGGCTCTCCACAAATCCGCTACAGCGCCGTACCCACTGAGTAGGGTGTCCTCAAGTCCTTCGTTTTCTGCATCGAGGTTTGTAAAACTCGTGAAGGAGCCAGAGGCTGGCCATCGGTGCCTAATGTCCTGGTCGGGTGGTTTCTCCTAGTGGTATGGTGGTCCAAGGGCTGCCAGTGCTATCTCTGAGTTTCTGGGCTAGGATTCCCAGCAAATGCACGGGGTCATGGTCGGTGTCGCTCTTGATCTGCACCTGGATGGTGCACTGAGATAATCCCGTTAAGGCGACCCACTCGCCCGTTTAAGTGGCGGATGTGCTTGTGGATAACGCCTGCGGGACCACCCATGGGTGACCGCCGCGGGCACTACGTCTCCAGGACAACTTACCGATTACTGATTATTGGTGGGCCTCTGCCTGTTGTGTGATTGTGCGTTCACACGTGGAGAGTGGGGCGGATGTGATCATAACACCCTGACGCGGCAGAATCAAACAGACACAATTACGTCGCAGCCTCCAGCTCCGCGAAATCGACTACCAGGATCATGCATAAGCAAAGTATCGCTGATGGCGCTCCCAGCGAACTGCCGAACGCGACTGCGAAGGTCTCGTGGCAGCAGTGCGACCTGCAGCAGCGTGACGCTGTCCATGGTGTAACCGTGGACTACTCGCCCTCTCCCCCCGCCGCTTGAGGTGGTCATGGGCCGGCTTAAGCGGAGGATCCCGTCAAGATGTAATTCCCGGAGGTGGGCCAACAATGCGATGTCAAGCTCAAGTGGATAGTCGAAGACAACGATCTCCCCCGCGACTCCGTACGCGATGTCTCCTGTCCATCGTTTGTGGGTGTTGGGAGGTCGCGCGCAGAACCAACCAACGTGGTCATGGCTATGTGTTGCTCAAGACTCGTTGGCCATAGCGCCCATCGCTCAAGACCCGCACGGGGGGCTTCAGAAAGATCAGCGACTCCGCGTGTTTGCCACCGTCTCCCCATAGAAGTGGCGGGGACCAGTAGTCAAGTACCTCTTGAGCGGGGCCTCAGACAGGAATCACAGAACGGAAGGTCAGAAGGGTGAGGCGAGCCCCAGGTTTCTCTGATTGAAGCGCGTGGAACGTGGCCATCCATCCCCATGTGGAGGTCGTGTCGCCTGGAGCCCAGCAGACCCACTGTTGATAAGAACATCGAACATCCAAAAACATGTTGGCCCCAGCGCGCGCGTCCTCGCAAGCCGATTCATGCAGAAGTCGTGCTGTGAGTGGAGGACAGGAAATCTCCTCCGTGTCTATGGCACACACGATGGACAGCAACGCGGGCACCACTTCTCCCAGCACTTCCTCGCACCCACTCTGCAAGTAGTAAAGGAATGGACGCTCCACCTATCTATCCGCCATCGTGCCTGGGCACGGAGCGGGCGTGTCCTCAGGTCCTTTGCCCAAGCCTCGAGGCCTCAATCCTCACTCCTAAGGAATCTTCGAAGGGCCCGGATCCCAAATTCCGGAATTCAGCGGGGGTTGCCGCGTGCCCCCTGGGGTGTCCCACGTGCCCACTGGGCTTTGCCAAATGGCGGCGCGTGAAATTCTCCGGCCCAAGAGGGCCCCAAGACGGGCCAAGAGGGCACCAGGAGGCCCCGAAGGCAGCCCAAGAGGGTTCCAAGTCGCTGGGAGATCGGCCCAAGACGCCCAAGATGGCCCCCAGACGGCCCACGAGGCCTTCAAGACGCATCAGGAGGCTCCCAGAAAGCACCCCAAGAGGGCCCCAACAGGCAAGAATCGGTGTTTGGAAGATGTGGGCGTTGTCGACTCTTAGCTTCCCGACGCTCCAAGACGCCTCAAGAGGCCCCGAAGACCACCCCAAAACGGCCCAAGAGGCCTCCAAGAGGGCCCCAAGACGGCCGCAAGACGGCCCCACAAGGGGCCCAAGAGAGGGAACACGAACCGAAAATCCGAGCCTTCCACCCCAAGAGACGCCCAGGAGGCCCCAAGAGGCGCCCAGGAGGCCCCAAGAGGCACCCAAGGGGTCCCCCAAAAGGCCCCAAGAGGCCCCCAAGAGACCTAAATGAAGCCCAAATGAAGCCCCCAAACGGCCCCTAAAGAGGCCTCGCCCCCAAGGACCCCGAGAAGCCCCCCCACGAGATCCCGAAGAACCTTCAACAGGCTTCACACCCACAACCCACGGACGGTGGCGGGATGGGCCGTGAAAACGCTTGGGCGGCGGCGTCGGCGCGCTTGCCGGACACTGGGAAGAAGCTGAAGGCATTGACGCCGAGCGTCCTCAAGAGAGTGTGCAAGCTCGTCGCACTTGGCCGTAATGGCCGGATTCACCACGCTGGCCGATACCGCTCGCAGGAGTCTGATCGCGAGACGGGTCTGCAACTCAATTAGGCACTCGTCTGGGAGAGGGCCTTTCTCCCAGCATAAACCAAAGCGTTTGCGATGGGAGCGAGTGGTCCGCACTGAACCCAATTATGCGTAAACCGATGAGGACATCCTCCACAGACAGAATGATGGTCGAAGAATTCCACTCCAGATGAATACCAACGACGGCCCTCCCTGCCTGGATGTTGTCCGCGTGTAGGGTGATGTGGTCTTCCAGCAACTTCACCAGCTGAATCGCCATCGCGGTCGGATCCTGGAGAGGTACCTAATCGATGCGGCGGCGAAGGTAAGGATAGCTGACGCTGTGGTGGAGGTGTGGGTGAGGCTCCTGATACTGACAAGCCAGCTGCCGCCTCTGTGAGGCCCGTGTGGTCATCCCGTCCTCTCCGCGTGTTCGACCTCGAGCATCTCGCTGCCCTGCGTTGGGCGAGCCTTGGCAGGGAAAGCCTGCAGCGGCATATTCGAAGTGGAACCCGTTGAAGATGTTGTCGGTAGCACTGGGGGCAACCACGCCGCTATCTGTTCAACAGATACCGGCGTGGCTGCCCCCAGGAACGGCTACGTGCCATGTAAGCTACAATATATGTTCAGCAGGATCGACTACAATGTAGCCGATCCTGCTGGCAGGGCCAGCATTTGCCTGGAGCCGGGTCGAGAGCGCCGAAGCGTGAGCATGTCACATGTGGGCAGGGGCATTGTAGAGCTGGCACAGGGGCTTGTGCATTAAAAAATTCGCTGGCAGCTGGCGGAGAGGGGCACCTAGTGGAGGGCTGGGCGCGCTGTCCCCGGCATTGCGTTTGGCTCAGAAAGCCAGGTGTGTAAAGTGACCGTCCCTGTTCCGCGGAGACGGAGAGCCACATGCGCAATCGATGGGAATACATGTCATCGCTTGGGAGCACCACTGTTGCTTCCATTGGCTTCCGCTAGCCTTCCGCCTGGTGAACTGCCCTCGTTTTGTTCCCGCCAGTTTCCGCCGCCATCCGACGAGGAAGACATGGCCACCCATGCACCCCTGAAACGCGCCACCTACTCGGACCCACTTTGGGGAGGCCTGGGGAGCCCGCCCCGCGGCGCAGAGAGCACCAGCTCCTGGCCGTCGGCGAGGAAGGCCTCCAGGCTCTGCCCGGGCGTCTCCCCAGCGCTTGCCGGCCGGCCTACCGATACCGCTGCTCGTCCTGGAGAGTCCTCGTCGCCATGGCTGCAGCTTCCTCGATATGTTGGTCAGAACGCACCCCTGGCAAGCCCCAGGAACTTGCAAATCCAGATCCCCATCAATCGGAGGTGAGGGGGTGAGATCGAAAAGGAACGGAGAGCCCCCCTACCGGGAAATCGGTTTCGGTTTCGTGTTCGCGCGTGCCGTGCGTGCGGGCGAAGCGAAGCTGCGTGGGCGGGCGAGAAAAGAATCTCCACCGGCTGAGGCGCGGCCGGACCAAATGACTCCCTTCCAGCAACCGGTGCCGCGCGGTGTCCCGCCGGTGTCCCGGCTCCAGCTGAGGCGCGGCCGGACCAAATGACTCCCTTCCGGGGGCCGGTGCCGCGCGGTGTCCCGCCGGTGTCCCGCCAGTGTCCCGTCGGTG